GAGCTTGCACCCAAGAGACAGAATCTCACCGGACTAACTCTAATCCTCCAACGACAGCAACTATAACCATGATGCCCTTAGGGAGGGGCCAGCCTCTTCCTCTTGACTTTCACACAGCAGCTGGGGGCCGAGGGGATGCTGTCCTCGGAACGTCTCTCCCCCTTCCCTGTAACCTTGAAGCTCCACACCAGAGTCCTCCCCACTCATGCTTTCCATCACACGCTGGCTCATCTAGTCCAGCAGCCTGTTCTTACAGTGGCCACATGTAATGGCTGTGAGAATAACTCTGAGAGACAGGAGGAAGAGCCACAGCCTATATAATGGTCTGATACATGAAATCTGAGTCCAAACCAGAAATGTAGTTTGAGATTCTCAGAACTGACCATCCCTAGTTCTCTGGAACAGAGAAGCAGGGAAGGGGGAAGGGCTTTCAGGTTTGCAAGATTCTGTTATTGTAACCTTACAATAAAAGTAGTATTCATATTCATGATTTTGGTTTTCTGGTCTGGACTATATTAAAAAGCTGACACCAACCAACTTCACAAGGAAGCCCACTAGTCCCCCAGCAGATGGCCTTCACAGGCAGTCCCACTGCCATCAAGGCTAAGAGTACCGTTCCCCATGACTTCCATTAACTGCTCCAACCCTTTTTGGAAGCCAGCACCACATTTCATGGCAGTGAATTCCAAAGGTGAATTATGTGTTGTGTAAAAAAAAAAAATCCTTTTGTCTGTCCTGATTCTTCCAGGATCTAATTTTACTGGGTGTCCTCTAGTTCTAGTATTTTGGCAAGAGGAAAATAGCTTCCCCTTATCCACTTTAAACACCATGCGTAATTTTGTACACCTAAATCACATCCCCTATCATTTACCTCCTTTCTAGACTAAAAAGCCCCAAATATTGCAATCTCTCCTCATAAGCAGCTGCTCCAGCCACTGGATCATCTTAGTTGCCCTCCTCTGAACCTTCTCTAGCTCCACTATATCCTTTTTGAGGTGCGGTGACCAGAACTGCACATAATATTCCAGATGTGGCTGCACCATTGATTTATATGAAGGTGTTGACATCTCTGTTTTCAGTACCGTTTATTATCCCTAATATGCTGTTGGCCTTTTTTATAGCACATGCACATTGCATCAACAACTTCATTGAACTGTTTATCATTTGGGTTTTTTGGGGCGGACGGTGTCATGCAGGTTGTTTTCATTGGCACGGATGGTGCCACAAAGTTTGAGAACCTCTAATGTAAGGGAAACGGGTTTAACCCATCTAGTGCTTGCCACTGATATCAAACAAAAGGACCTCTGATTTTTGATTTCCTGATTCTGTGCGTCAACAGTGATTCAATAAAAACAGAGTGGTAAGCACTGAAACTCAAGGCTTGGAAAACCAAAGGAAATCAGATGTTTGGTAACGCCTGGAGTTAAAATGTATAGTCATGATATTGTTATGCATGAAACACTTCTGTACAGTAAGTACATATTTCTGACTAAATGCTTGAATGAGGGGGGAAAAAAAGCAGCTGGGGAATACCAAACGGGAAATAATTCATTACCTTTTTTCGTAAGTGGAGCTCAGTAAGCCTCCATCAGGCCCTTTGGGGATTATTCCTACCCAGATTTGGTGCTTATCAATAACATGTGGATTTTCCAGACAAACTGGGAATGGTCTAAAGAAAAGGAGAAAGTCACCACAGTATCACCAACATGTTAAAGAGATGGGCTTCACAGCTTAATAGCAGTCTGACTAGCTCCTCAAACCAGGTAGAATGTGAATGCAGCCACACTTAGGTATCTGAAGCATAAATTCTAGCAATTTGCACTACTGTTATATATTCATTAATTCATTCCTACAGTTAGGAATCTTCTCAATTACATAAATTTTTCCCTTAGAGGAAGGACACTAACACTATTCTCACCACCAGGGAAGTTTTCTACTGCAAGTCATGTAATCTACCTGTATCCTTTGTCAACTGCAGTGTTATGTTATATGAATGTTCCTTCTGTATTAAATAAACCCAGATACTTACCAGCATTCTACTCATCCAGAGTAATAAAAACAGGGCAGGTAGGAAAAAAAAAAGTTTTCCAAGTATATCATGCATATTATGGGCCCAGGTAGTATAGGATGACTTGAAATGGGCATTAATTTTCCTAAAATAATGAGGTGTAGAAATAAAATTTGCAACCAATGAGGCTAGTCCAAGCAAAAAGTTGGATTCAGACTTAGGCACTATAGCAGCCTTAGCTGCAGAACATCTGTTCAGATTCATATAAATTCATGATAGCCTCCACATCAAAAAGAACATCTTGAAACTTATTTCAGCAAACAGCACATAAGGGGTTTCTAGTCACTGATAAATGTAGTTGTTGATCTTTCTCTAATCAAACAAGTC